TTTTTTTTTTTTTTTTTTAGGGGCACATTTTCCCAGAGGCACTGTGGTGCATCTGAGCTTGTTATATTAGAGAACTGAATGTTTGTTCCTCACTTTGTTTATGAACTTTATTGGGGAAAAACATTCAAAAGCCTGACTGCCTTTGCGCCTTCTGTTAGGTAGCATTAACACTCAGTTGGCTGATTAAGTGTGATCTGAGCTTTGAAGAATGGGGTAGCACCAGAGGACGATAAAGGTCCATCAAGAGATGCAAGAGGCACAGCATTTGGTGCTTATGGCCAAGGGCTGAGGATTCTTTGTACTATTATTTCCTAAATGAAATGATAAATTTTCATTTCAGAAAATTGGAGGAAAATTTAGAGTTTACTGCAAAACTCAGTAAGCTATGCATGCTGACTTAGTAGTGATGCAGTGATTTATCATCATCTAAGAATATGGTTCATTGTTTCCATAGAAACTTGGGAAAATGGAAAAGTGTAAGCAAAGAGAAAGCGAAGGTCTTCATGAAAGAAAATAATTGATACAGATATTATTACTCCCTGCTGCAACCTTTTTTGTGATCTTGTCTAGTCTATCAATATAGTTCTTCAAACTATTCTTATACAACAAAAATTCTTCACTGCTACATGAGTCATATCACTTGTCAGTATGGTGGCAAGTATCCTTCTTAAGGGAGCAAACTTCTGTGTAAGGCTCTGTGAGCACTTGTGGGGTTTTTCTGTTCTGTGGAATAAAAACCAGGTTACACATGCCTGAATTATTTGAAATATTTGGGTTTTTTTTCACAGAAATGAAAAGCAGAAAACTTTAGTTTCAGGTCAAATAAACTGGATCTTTAACCCACCTGTGTGCCCCAGCTGCTAGGGGGAAGGGGAGCAGTACCCACCCCTGCTTCACATAAGTGCATTCTTAGCAGGAGCCACAAAGCTAAAAGTTTTGGAAACATAAAACCAAACCGTTTTGCATTTTCTAAAACATTTTTTCAGTGTTTTAGTCCTACTGAAATGCACCGATGAATTCTGTTCAAATTCATTACCAGATTAATAATTGTATTAATGATTACCAGTAAAAATGTTGTTGCCTGATCCTTTCCGTTGTATGCGAGAGGGGTTTGGAAAACACTAAATGACTTTTCTATCAGTTGGTGGTTCAATGCTTTCCAGAAACTATAGACATAGGGACCAACCACTGGTCTACCTTTCTGTGTGCTCCCCCTTCCTGCTGGTGTTGCGTTCCTGAGCACACATCTGCTCTGAGGGTGCTGGTCCTGGGGCAGGTTATTATCACTGATGGGCAAATGTCCTAGAAAAGCAAGATTTTCTTTTTTGTGTCTGGCCACATCATTTTTACCCTTGTCAGTAGCCGGTGGCCACCGGGTGTCACTGTAGCTCTGTGTAACTACCGAGGAAAAACTAAAGGGTTAGTTTGGTACAGAGAGGATTTGAAGGATAGTTTTATTCTGCGTGTTTGGATTGCTAATGAATGTACGCATCGAGAGTCCGATTCCGTTAAGTTCATAAGTTATAATTTTGCACCTGTATTGTTTCTGTACTGAAATCACCCTTCTAAAAGGTTGCTGCACTGGCACCAGTAAGGCTATAGGAAAACATAGGTGTCCTCCTCCCCTGCCCCTGGAATACAGCATGGTTTGAGACCTGCAGCTTAGTATGTGTATGGAGACCCTGCATAAGGCCTGCTTACCTCAGTCAAATGGTGCAGCTGCCTGGGACAGACTGCAGGATCAGGCCCTGCATCAGTTATGCCTTCCCTATTTGGCAATCAGTCAGTGTGAAAATGATAACATTTAAAACAAAAGCTTATGAGAGAGCACTGAAGGTCAGACAGCAAGCTGGTGTGGCTGTTTCTTTGCAAACTCATTATTGCCCCCAGTTCTGTGCTATATTCGTGCTTACATTGCAGCTGCTTCCCCAAATCATGGGGGTTTTTTTGCTGTTGTTATAATTAGATATATCTTCCTTGCAACTCGATATTTTTTAATGCCACGGTTTCTTTTTCTGCATTTCTTTTCCCAGGCACATTAGCCGGAGTGATAGATTTAGCTGTGGATTGGATGACAGACCTGAAAGAGGGTGTCTGCCTGTCTGCCTTCTGGTACAGCCACGAGCAGTGCTGTTGGACATCTAATGAGACGACATTTGATGACAGGGACAAATGTCCCCAGTGGCAGAAATGGTCTGAACTTCTTGTAAGCCAGTCTGAGGTACGGGAGACCTGACTAGGTTGGGCTCACAGCAGGACAGGGAATGCCCTTGTTTCATACTTGCTGATGCTCCCTCCAGAGATTTCCTCTGAAAGAGAAAGTAATGAACTGAGAGCATCGCAAAAAAACCCAAACAGACAGACATTTCCACAAGCAATATCTGCTTAACTTGGGAGAGGTCCTCTTGTTTCAGTGTCATGTGTGATGGAAATTGGAAAACTGTGAGATCTCTCTCTACCAAAACTGTTTCATAACACTCATAACATAATCACCAGGGGACCTGCACCGCTATCTATTTTTTTCTTTTAAACACAATTTTATGGGACAAAAAAAATGATCCCTGACAAATACATTTTAGAGGAAATTTTTGGGACTGCAGATGCTTTTTATGTATTCAAATGCTGTGAGTAGTAGTGGGAGCCACATAAGAACCGCTTGTTATGCCCTTGCAATCAGTTTCTCTATCAGATAGCAAAATATTTATCTAGCGCCAAAAGCTGGGGAAATAATGGGCTTCCTGGGAGAGGGTCAAACTGAAAAATTTGCATGGGGAGAAGACAGGAAGGGAAAAAGCTGATCTGGACTGACATGAAACTTACATTTTAAGATTTTTTTTTTCCTATCCTTTTTTAAATTGTAGTAATTTTAAATACAAAGAATGTTGTTTCAAAGCAAAGCAGGTGAAAGTTTTGTTTTGAAGACATCAGATGAAGCCTTTCTATAGTCCTTTCAGCAGATGATACTTTTATAAAAAATAGTAAAAGGAGATTTTCTTTTCAACCTAAGCTTTTCAATGTATTGAATGATACTGATCCCTTCACAACTCAAATGTTTTGGTAGAACTATTGTCTTGAGTACCCCTTCGCCCCATTTCTACAGGTGACTTGAACATGACAAAAACTGAATATGACCTGGAGGTGGGATGAATGTGGCTTTGAAGAGAACTGGGACTTAAAAAAAAATCTGGTAATGTGGTTTGGTGACTAACAGGAGAAGAAAAGATATACTTCCATGGAAGAAATCATCTCCAGCCAGGCAATTAAAAAACGGGTGATGGAGAGATTGTCTCGGATCTTACCCCAGTGTGAAGATGGTCTGGTCCCGCAGAAAGTGTTTGAGGGCACCTTCATCGCCATACAAGTTTGTCATTCATGTTCCCTTCAGTGCCGCTTTAGGTTTACAGTACCAATAGTACTAGATGAGAGTGCCTGTGAATATGCATAGCCCAATTTTCCGTAGTTCTAATTAACCATAGCAAAAGTAGAGGGGTGCTCACTGTTCCTGAATATTCCCACCATTTGATCTCAGGCAGAAATCTCTGGCAGTCCACAGTGCCAAGCTTTCCTTTGCCAGAGGTTTGCTGGGTTCACACTGCTCTTCATCAACAGATGGTTTGGATGGTTGTGTTTCTGTAACAGTGCAGAAATATTACCCTGGTATAAAGTTGCAGGATTGGGGATGATGATGTAATTTAAGAGAACAGAAAAATGTGGGAAGGGAAAAAAGAGGAGAATGTTACAATTGTTAGGGGATTTGGAAATCCTGTGCATGTGTTTGACATGCTGTTACTCTGAAAGGCTGTAATGTATGAACAGAGCATATCCTTGAGAAAATTTATTGCTTTCACCTGCTACTCGAAATCAGCAGTTGTGAATGCTGTATGCTGGGGCTGATAAGAAAAGTATCAGCTGGGCACTGTGAAAATTTACTCACTTTGTATTTAAATTGGTCTTCTCACCCCCTAGTATACTGTCACAGTGGAAAAAAAAGGTTAATCTTTGCTTAGTTTTAGGCTGTTTCTCAAAATAAATAGGCCTCTAAGATCTTGTGGGTTTCTGGTTGCCAAGGCCTGATGGATGCTGTAAATATTAATAATATAGCTGTCTATTACTGTTACATTGAAATCCCAGGCAAAGCCCAACAAAAAAGTGAATATGGGAAGAAAAAATTATGTTTTGCAGCAAAAGACTTACCATATGGGCAAGTTTTGCATGATTCCTGTAGTTGTAGAGGACTCTACGAGGGATCAAAATACACTGAAATAACTGCTTTTCAGAATAATTTTGCCTTTTTTTTTTTTTTTTTTTTTGGTATGTTGCTTTGTTTTGTGCCTGCTATTTGGGTAACAGCCCTATAAAATGCACAGTGCACAGAAGGACTAATCTGGAGCACATTTTAGACAGAAAATCATAGAGTCATAGAATAGTTTGGTTTGGAAGGGACCTTTAAAGGTCATCTAGTCCAACCTCCCTGCAACAAGCAGGGACAGCTTCAACTAGATCAGTACTTGAAACAGTTTCCCTAAAGGTACTCTGGTCAGATGTGTCTTTTTTTTAAAACATGACTGTGTCTCTTTCTTATCATAGATAACTAAATTTGACATTTTGAGAACTAAGATTTAGGTATTTTCTTCCTTGTGGTTTTGCTGATATATGGCTGTGATAAACCCTGTACATGTGCTCTCGCTGAGAATTGTGACATTTCCTATGGCATCTCCTGAAAATTTTTTTCATTTTAGTCCTCCTATAAAATGAGCCCAAAGCAGAGTCTTGATATAAATTATTGTGGAAAACATAATAGCACATCCGAAACATACCAGGCTATGTTTTCTTCCCTAATCACTGTTTTGTAGGCCAATGGTAACCTTCATCCCTCTGGTCCAGCACTGCTTCCAAAGAGCAGGTGAAGAATTTTTTGATGCAAGAGAGTTTCAAAACCTCAAATTCACTGGAGGAGTGGGTGTGTTAAAGCACATCGGATGCCATCCACTTCAACTAGATCTCTAGCCAGTATCTGGTGACGTGGAGCTTCCCTATTCTGCAGATCCAGGTTGGTCCTAACCTGAATTTCACTGGAGCTGAGGACCCCATTTCTGGTGCCTCACATCTATCCAAAGCAGAGGGAAGAGCCCCGTGTCTTCCATGGCTCATGACACTGGATCCAGCAATAGACTGGATTCCCATCCCAGGGCTTCTGGATGTCCTGTCATGAAGCTGAGACCTGAAAGACAAGGAAGGCCCTCTATACTTGAGACACATTTCCCAATTTGTAACATCCACTGGAGGGAGTCTGTAAGCTGTGAGATGCCAAGTCAAGTCAGAGTAGAGCTCTTGGCCTCTGGAGGAAACAAGCATTGGTCAGCCATTGATGGCATCCTGAGGGATGTGTTTTATTTCAGTATTCTGAGTTTGTGAGGGTTGTTTTCAATTGTTTCCATTTGTACATAAATTGGACTGACACCAGATCTGAAATATTGTGAGGTCTTGCAAACTAAAATACAGTTTTCTTCAGTTTCCCTGCGTGCTTCATTACTATTGCTGCCAGGGTAAGTCCTATGAGCCACTAGTGGAAAAGGTCTTAGCAGAATCATCTCTGCTGATGAGAGTTTTTGGTCTCTGATTCCAGTGAATGTGCTTAAGGCTCTTACTGATTCAGGGTCTTAGTAATGGAATGTAATGAGTGAGAAATGAGCCATTTGCTATACTGAGTTACTACTACTTCACTTCCCAAAGGTTTTCTTATTACTGATTATTAGAAACTCCTGCAATTGGACCTGCAGAATGCCAGATATCTGGAAAATGTAACAATGAGAGCTGTCCCAAGGGATAAGACTGAACTGGTCATATAGACTCTTCTGTGGTCCTGCCAACAGGGCTGTAGGTGTATATGTGATTGCAGTAATGAGATGACATAGTTTTCATGTGACCTCTGAGATGTAACAGAAGAGGAAGTAAGGAGAAACAAAGTTAATTTGACTCCAGTGAATTTACAAGCAAAACTGCAGCTTTCGCTCAATATTTTAGGGCCAAATTGCTGTAATGGCATTGGTCGTCTTTGGAGTTACTCCAGATTCACACTGAAAGGAGAATTTTTCCCTGGGGCAATATATCCATAGCTTTGTCTAGAGGAAGGGTAAATATTGCCATAGCTGTTTGTAATTAAAAGTACTAGGAGAAGACATTCATGATGAATTGAGACCATCTTCAGCTGTAGCAACAAAGATCCATGGTTACTACAGACAGATGTCCATCACTGTAAGTGTGGGATCCGTGACTGCTTAGTCTCAGGGCATTGAGGGGGATAGCATCGTATTGCTCTTCTGTTACAAGAAAAGCCATCTGCTAACTTCAGCAAGCACAAGAGGACCTTAACAAATTGCCCTTCTTCCAAATATATCCATAAGGATAAGGGCAGTAGTTTCCTTACTGTATTTTCAATTGGATAGAGACTCGGAAAATGAGGCTAGCAAACATTCTTTCTGTTAAAGGTTGATTCCTTGCAGGCTTGCGAACAGGGAGACTTCTCAGCTCTAGGGTTTTTATGACTGGGAACTGGGCTTGGCCAGTTCTGCTAACTGAAGACATGATACAACTGATTAATGCCTGTTTTCCTACTTGATTTATCATAATGTTGATATCCAGGCTGCTGTCCTGCAGAGCAAAGACAGAGGCCCTGATGTTCTTGAGCAGCTGGGATTGTATCTGGTAGGAAGAGTTCACTTAGAGGTGAAGGATTCGTATCAATTCATGCACTGAGGTTCATCTTTTTATTCTGCAGTATCATGTTGCTAGAAGAGATTGTTTGAAGACTTAAGCTCCTTTTATCAATTCAATGCCTCTGACTAGATTCTCTTGACTGTGTAGGAGAGGTTTTCCAAATTAATCTAAAAATTATGCTTGTGAAGAGGGAGGTGTATTCTAAGGCAGATTTTAACAACAGTTTTGACTTCACCATTGCAGACAGGTAGAAAGTCTGAAGGTCACTACTGACTATGCTTTCACTATGGCACTGCACAGTCAACCATTGCTAATGATCATTAACAATTCCATTGTGTCAGTAAAGCTATTCAGTTTGAAGATAGGTTTTATTATTGACTGGACTGCTTTTTAAATATCAGGGCAAAAATGATTGAAATGTGTCTGAGTGGGATCTGCCAAGCTATTGTGTTTTCAAATGTGTTTTTCAACCCTATCATAGATAGCGTCATATAGAAGGAAAGAATTTATTTATTGTTTTACCCTTCCTGTTTGTGAACTGAACTGGCTACTGATATACAGAGGGATGTAATTTGAAAAGATCAGCATCTGCATGGATAGTTGACCTTTGAATACCAGCCCTTGGAAAAAGATGTATCAGGGTCTCATCCCCTATGACCCACCATGGGATGAAACAGCAGATTCCATTATTAGGTGCTTTTTTATCAATTACTTTTGCCCTTATGACAGATCTGTTTGATGTTTTGGAACTTTTTGTGATTGGCTTAATTTTTTAGTGCTTGAAAGATGCTCTGTTTAAGGTGTTTGGGTCCCTTGCAAACAGACTGTATGGACTGGGTTAGGTACATATTAGTATGATGCTTCTCTCCATGAGTAATAAAATTGTTGGAGTATATAAAGTCATTTGTCCTTTCTGAGAAAAAGCAGCAGCTAGTGTGTAAATGAAAAGACCAGGATCCATGTCATCATGATCCCTAGTAGAAGCATAAGATTTAACAACCTGCATTTGTCTAACAATGTTTGTTACTGTTATTTTTCTAGGGTGCAAGTGCTTACATTCTAAACTATTTTCTATACATTATGTGGGCTCTATGTTTTGCTTTCCTGGCAGTCTCCCTGGTCAGAGTGTTTGCTCCCTATGCCTGTGGCTCTGGAATCCCAGAGGTGAGTTTTTCTTTGTGGATGAATATCGAAAACCCACGAAAACAAAGACAAGATAATTTGTCACCTTTTCCCATTCCAAAACTGTACTATGAGATAGCATTTGAACAAGAAGATTGTCTTTCCATCTCATCTATCTTCATTCCTTTGTCTAACTTGCCTTTATGGTGCCCATCTAAATTTTCCATAGTAGAAAATGAATATTTGAAATGCCACTGTGACAAGTTTAATGTACATACTTCTTCATTGCCAGAACTTGAATTAAAAATCAATGGCTCCCAGTTATCACTTTATGGACTATAACTATTTGTGGCTGAGGCACATACTCACTAAAAGTTTATATAGAATTTTTCTTGGATAAAATTACTTGTGCCAGTTACAAAAACAGTCATTTTCTAGGCTAGGCTTTAAATAAAACAAAAATAAAATGAAGGAGGAGGGCTACAAAGCTAATGCTTCCTAAGCTACTGAAGATGCAAGTTGCCCATCATTTGGGATGCCTGAAAAGTGTCTGGCTGTCCATCTTCTGCAAATTGTGTCCTTGTATACCATGTCATGCTGGCATGACAGCATTATGGCAGCCAAAATCTTCACTTGTTTTTTTACATATTGAGCCTCAATCCTTATTCAAGCTGTTAAAATGACGAACCCTGTAATTCAAGCAGTACAGCTACATAAAAATTTTGAAATCAGGGCAGTCTTTTGTTAAAAGTGCTATAAATCCACTGGGATTATTATGTAGGAATCTGGCAGACAGAATCAACAGCACAAATTTTAGAAATCTTGGTATACTTTTTTCCTTCATCTCTAGGAGAAGCATCCAAATGTTTCATAGCCAATCAGCAAAAAACCCCACTGCAAATAATTCAAAATATTTAAATCACTTCCATGTTTCAAAGTGGTCACATGTGTGTGTTTGTTACATATTTGATATATCTGTAAGTGTTTTTAAAAAGTTTTCATAGTTAACTGTAAATCTAGTTTCTGAGTGGTAAGCCTCTTATGTGAGGTGATGCTCAGCTCCAGTTCATTTCCAGGGCTAGAATCCAAACCCAGATCCTACCTTGCAACTATTCTAGCCACTCACATGCAAAATTAAGAGGAAATGTGTAAAAACAAGATCTCTTGGACTTTCTCATTTCATTATACTTGCATCCTTTTATGGCATGGCCATTCCAAATACTTAGAACTTCTTTTTCCTTATTTTAACTGGGAGAAGTCTGTGGTGGTTTATTTGCTTTTTTTCTGCGTTGTTAAAGTTGGGTCTAGTTTAACTCTGATCCTGTAAGCCAAGGAGATATGTAACAGTTTCATATTTCTATTGATCTCTGTAAGACTCCTTACTGATGCAGGGGACCACCTATACGAACAGTAAAAGTGTGGTCTGCTTAACCCCTGCTCAGCTATCACTATGGGAAAATTGCCCTACCTATGGTTTCTTTCTCTCCATCGCTGTCTCTTTGCAAACAGTCTGAATTTTTTTTTTTTTAACTCTGCTGGGGTTTTAACTCCATTTGCAAGTTCAGAGTAGAAAAGGTTTCTTCAGCTCTTCAACATGTTCTTCCTGCTTTCCAGATAAAAACCATCTTGAGCGGGTTCATTATTAGGGGCTACCTGGGAAAGTGGACACTTTTAATCAAAACAGTCACCTTGGTTCTGGTGGTATCTTCAGGCCTCAGCCTTGGGAAAGAGGGGCCATTAGTCCACGTGGCCTGTTGTTGCGGAAACTTCTTCAGCAGCCTTTTCTCAAAGTACAGCAAGAATGAAGGAAAGAGGAGAGAGGTGAGGTTGGCTTAAATCATCTCTAATATCCCTGTCCAGATACTTGGCAATTCAAAGGACTCATGCCTTGTACATAAATGTTTGCTTTGTAGGTGCTCTCAGCTGCAGCTGCTGCAGGAGTTTCTGTTGCCTTTGGGGCTCCGATTGGAGGTGTGCTTTTTAGTCTGGAAGAGGTGAGGCCTGGCAGTTCACTTGCTTCAATTAGTATATATTCATTTGATACCTTTTTCTAAGATTCCTCTTTATTTTTCAAATATTTATATGCTTATTTTTCTTCTAAAGCAAAAATAATCTTTGGTTTCTAGTAATAAGAAATAGCCAGGTACTTTAGCCTAATTTGAGCAGAATAGCACTGCCTTTCTGGAAACAAATGAAATGATTCAATCTGGAAATGTGTCCCTGTGCTGTGGTTTCTCCAGCTTTCAGATTGCTGCAGCATGGGCTGAGCTGTTGGAGCATCCGTCTTATCATCTCTAGCCAGCAACTTTGAATTTAGATTTATCAATTTTTAACTGGTTGATGCTCCCTATTTGAAATCTGAAAATGCCTTTTCTGATACCTTTGTGAACACATTCTGGCTGTGATAAGGACTAGTGCTCCCAGTAAAGTCAGACACAGAGTCACAGGTGAAACACATGATGATGGCAAATGAAAGCAAACACCCTCTGTCATACCCAGTGAAGTGTTTATGGTCTCTGCTTGGTTTTAGGTCAGCTACTACTTTCCTCTGAAAACCCTCTGGAGGTCATTTTTTGCTGCTCTCGTGGCTGCCTTCACACTGAGGTCCATCAATCCTTTTGGAAACAGCCGGCTGGTCCTGTTCTATGTGGAGTATCACACCCCCTGGTACATGGCTGAGCTCTTCCCCTTCATCCTGCTCGGCGTCTTCGGCGGCCTCTGGGGAACCCTCTTTATCCGATGCAACATCGCCTGGTGCAGGAGGCGAAAAACCACCAGGCTCGGGAAATACCCAGTGCTGGAGGTCATAGTGATAACGGCTATCACCGCCATCATCGCCTACCCTAACCCCTACACCCGGAGGAGCACCAGTGAGCTGATCTCAGAGCTCTTCAATGACTGCGGTGCCTTGGAGTCCTCGCAGCTCTGCGACTATATCAATGACCCAAACATGACCCGGCCGGTGGATGACATTCCTGACAGACCTGCCGGCCCCGGGGTTTACACTGCCATGTGGCAGCTTGCCTTGGCTTTGGTGTTTAAAATTGTCATCACGATATTCACTTTTGGCATGAAGGTAAATCGGGGACAAGTGCAGAAGCTGTTGGGAGCATAAGGCACAAATGGGTTGCCATCAGCAGCTGTGGTCTATCTAGCAGGGTTTGTGTGTCTCTTACCTACACCCAGCCATGCAGGTGTAGTTGACATGCCTGCTGGTTCACCTGCCTACCAGCACCTTGCTCTGCAGGCCCCTGTTGCAGCAGAGGGATGAGCCTTGCTCTTCCACCTTCTAGTCATCCACAGTTTTATTAAGTGAAAAAGAAATCTGGGCAAGAATTTAAATTGTTGCCAACAAGCAAATTCAAGATGATTCCCACTGCAGCTGTCTTTCATCTCTCTCGGGGATATTGACTATTTATATTGTTGTTTGTCTTCTTGGATTAATGTCTTAATGTGCCTTAAGGTAGCTATATTCAGGGAAGTAATGGCTTTGAATTTACTGATTTACACATTGAAAACCTCACAAAAATATAAAAGTAGCTGAAAAATTCTATTTTTTAATCATTTTAAGCACTGTATCTCAGAAAAAAAGAGGGAATGATTGGGAGGACTGACAGATGTATCATTTGATTATTCTGGATTTGCAGCTTTTGCATTCCACTCCTCCTCCTTCCCATACATGAGTGATGAAAGGTCCAAGAAGAATTTATCCAAGCTTTCAATATATACAAAGCTGTTTGTCATGAGTTTTATATATCTGATTGCTAGAGCCCATATCAAACACATATCTGCCTGTCTACAGCTCCCATTATCTGAGCATTTATTTCTGGATCAGATTGCAGCAGATGATGGGAAGTTTTTCTGAGTTACACACTATGTGTTACGCCATACTCAAAGCTGAAGCATCTCATCTTTCTCTTAAAAACTGAGCTGGAACTGAGGATTCATCTTTTAGAAGGCCTGTTACCTCAAAAGTAGTGGGAAGTTGTTGGAGTTTTGCTTCTTTTGTGTTTTCTCCATTTGGGATGTCCTTGATGACAAGAACTATTGAATGGTAGAAGGTCATGTAGGACCAGTGACTGAGCCCTGATGATTTCCTGAGCACAGAAAAGGAGTGGGAGTTTAAGAGGTCAGGGGTAATATCTCTGGAGGAAGATTTGAAATGAGATGCCCTTCACTGCAGAAAGTGATTTGTGCTGGGGCTGGCAGCCAGTTGTTATGCTTGTTCATTTGTTTAAAAATTTCTGAGTTTGGTTCTTTGTTTGATATGTGATTCTTTATTCTATATATTTAAAATTTTTTAGAAACAGTTGACAGTTTCAACTATTATGGAAAAGAACAGACAAAATAGCTTTACCCACCAAATCTAGAAGGCCCAATCCAATTGTGTTAGCAAAATTAACACTGTGGTAGGACAGATAGCGCCTGCTGTTATCAGCCCTAAAACCCCTGGGCCATGCTGAGGTTATTAGTTTAGTTGTCTAGGAAGCTCAAAGTATATCTTCAGAATTAGAAAAATATTACAAACTTTCCTCTCTAAAACCAACAAAAAATCCATGCAAGCCCTTGCAACAGATCTGAGTCGTCTTCTTCACCAAGGAAATTGGTCTCCAACTTGACGGGTGCACTTGACATCTAAGAGGAAATGCACGTAGACAAGGCAAAGTGAATCTTAATTTTCTTTGGTTTTTTTCCCCCCCCTCATTTCAATACTGTTTTTTGATGTTTTGTGTAGCAGACAACAAGGCAATGATTCATATTGCTTCCTGGAGAGTATACAGCTAACTGCGATGACTGCCTTTGAGCAGTCAGCCTCCTTTCTCTAAATTTTTATTGTGTGTTTGACATTTAATTTAAAATCTGGTCTGATTTAGGCTGAAAGAGTGGTAATAAAACCTTAAAGTACTCTGTGTGATAGGGGTTGAAATCAAGATGTTATTTTCAGTTAAGCTTATTCTCAAGCCCATGACAGAACCATCA